TCGCCGTTGTCCTTGACCAGCACCAGCAGCCGGTGGCGGGGCGCGTCGCGCTCGCTCAGCGGCCGCGCCGTGCGCACCTCGCCGTTGTGCGCCCACACGCCGAACAGCCCGGGCTCCGTGGCCCTGAGCAGCTGGTAGGACAGCCAGGCGTTCTGGCCCGAGTCGCCGTCCACCGCCACCACCTTGCCCACCAGGTAGCCGGGCTCGGCCGCCCTGGGCACCAGCTCGGTGCAGGGCGCAGAGCCGTTCTGCGGCGGGTACAGCACGAAGGGCGCGTTGTCGTTGGCGTCCAGCACGCGCACGCGCACCAGCGCCTGGCCGCTCAGCGCCGGCGCCCCGCGGTCGGTGGCGCGCACGCGGAACTCGAAGGCCTGCAGGGCCTCGTAGTCCAGCGCCCGCAGGGCGAACAGGTGGCCGTTGTCGGCGTTGACCGACACCAGCGAGGCCAGCGGCAGGCCGGGGTCCGGGGGCGGCAGCAGCGAGTAGGTGAGCTGGGCGTTGGCGCCCGCGTCGGCGTCGGTGGCGCTGACGCTGCCGATGTGCAGGGCGGGGCTGTTGTTCTCGGGGACGAAGAGGGTGTAGGAGGTTTGGGTGAAGGCGGGGGCGTTGTCGTTGACGTCGGAGACCAGCACAGTTATGTGGTGCTGGGTTGTCAGTCTTGGGGTCCCCGTGTCGGTGACGGTGATGGTGACGTTGTACTCGGCTCTGCTCTCTCTGTCTAGAGGTCCTTCTGTTACGAGCTTGTAGAAATTTTCAACGGAAGGTTTCAGCGTGAAAGGAAGATCTTCCTGGATGGAACAAACCATCCTTCCGTTTTCCCCAGAGTCTGGGTCTTGAACACTGAACAGAGCTACGATAGTTTCCGGGGAATTTTCTGGGATGGAGCTTGTAAGTGAAGCCACCGTTAGTTCTGGGCTGTTGTCATTTACATCCACCACCTGTATTATGACAGTGCATTTTCCAGAAAGACCTGCCCCATCAGACGCCTTAATATCCACCTCATATGACACAATTTTTTCAAAATCTAGTTTCCTAATTATTGTAATTTCTCCTGTGCGTTCATTAAGTGCAAATGTTTTAGTAATCTCTTCATCACCATAAAAAAATGAGTAGAACACTTCACCATTTATTCCCGTATCTAAATCTCTAGCGGATACAGTGACGACAAGGGATCCCAGAGGACTATTTTCCAGGACCTGCACACGGTAGAGTGGCTGCACAAACTCAGGGGCGTTGTCATTGATATCCAAAACATCAACGAGGACCAGGGCAGAGCCAGACTTTGGAGGAAGTCCGCCATCTACTGCCATGAGCGTTAACCTCAGCTCAGACTGCTCCTCTCGATCTAGAGCTTTGTCCAGAACCAGCACTGGGTACTTTCTGCCCTCACTGCCATTTCTGGTAAGAACGTGGAAATGGGAGTTGGGGTGGATGGCATAGTTTTGAATGTTATTGATGCCTACATCCAGATCTTGTGCATTTTTCAGGGAAAACATAGTCCCTGGAAGAGTATTTTCCATGATTTTCAAAATCATTTTGGCTTCTGGGAACACAGGTGAATTGTCATTTATGTCACGGACCAAAAGCTTAAACCTATATACTTCCAAAGGTTCTTCCATTAACACCTGGAATTGCAGCACACAAGGCTCAGTGGGACCGCACAGTTCTTCCCGATCCAATTTTTCATTTACTTGTAAATCTCCGGTCTGAAGGTTCAGCTGAAAGTGGTTTTTGTTGTTGTTAAAAATGATCCGAGCCCTCCTCCGAGACAGCTCCCTTACCTCCAGCCCTAAGTCCTTTGCTAGATTGGCCACAAAAGAACCGCTCTCTGTTTCTTCTGCGACACTATAACCTTCCCGCTCCGCACAAGTCTGAGCCAGCAAAACAAAGAGAAGCAGGACTTGCCTTAGTGTAGGAAAGCGCTCCTCCTCAGCCTCCATTTCTCCAGCGCCAGGGGTCTTTAGGGTCGGGTGCCTGTTGGGTCCGTAGGCAGTCTGCCGGGGAGAGAATCCTTGCCGCAGGGTAACTCCGTTAAGGATCTTGTCTTGGTTAGATCTGTGTGATGACTGCTAGAACAGAAACCTTCCGCAGGTCTGTTTTTCACAGCCTTAGCTTACAGCGCCACCATGTGTTGTACTTAAACCTAGTTTGCTGGAGATGCTACAAAATGTATTCCACTTATTTGGATTTATGCACACACAAACACACACAAAACAACCACCACAGATTATATAGAGAGTGGTTTATAAATAAAACTGTAACTTCTATTTTCCTGCGAGATTGTGAGTGTGGTAATGGTGCCAACCACTTTGGGAAATGATGCAAGAACAAAGCTAACTATATTTATTTATTCAACAAAACAATGATTTAATAGTATATGTCAGGCAGTATACTAAGTGCTGGGAATACAAATGCCTTCTCTGTTGTATAAAATGTCTACTATACTGTATAGTCTGTATTCTGGGGGGATTGAGTAGAAAAAGATGTGTAGCTATCAGTCTATTCCTAAAGAAATCAAACTCTTAACACATTGCAAGCACAGTAGAGGAAGTGATTCATTTACATACTTCAGGAGCATAAACTTAAGTGACATACCAGCTAGAACTGGTTTATTATGCAAACTAAATAGATAGCTTAATGGATTGTGGATAACTTATAAATGTTGTCTAAGGAGAATATCTCAGTATCTCTGTAAGCATTGTTGTATTGACTGTTACATTACCTAAAACAATTTGTAAAGAGCATCTAGATACTTTCCTAAAACTAAGATACATACATATTGAAGCTAAGATTTGCTGAGATCTTGAAAAGTAGGAAAGTCAAGATCACAAAGATAAAGGGCTGAAGTTACAGTAAAAACTAAAGTGCAGAAGAAAGTAAGTTAGTTGGGTTCACCTGAGACAGTAGGTTAAACTTATTTCCAAGTACAAAGATCACTATTTTTAGCAAGCAAGTCCCATAGCTCTTGTGGATAGCTTGAGGTCCTAGCATGGAACTAAAGTTCTTTTACTCCTAAGGATGGAAAAAATATCTTGCAGTCAGGGACCTGGAGTCTCCCCACTTGCACCAGATTTTAGCCAATATTTTAATATTGTTTAAATAATAGTATCACATATTCTGGCACTCCAATTTTCTGGCTAACTGGGAAAACAGCTTGGGCCAAGTGTTAACATTGTGTTGAATACTGGTTTAATTCTATTAAGGTACAAATCCCTCAACTGACATTCTATTTTAGAATGCTTTCTTCTACATAGTGAAACAAATTTAGTTAAGTAAACTTTCAAAATATGAGAACATGCTGGTTACAGTTATATCTGATAATTTTCCTCATAGATCTTGGTCATGGGTCCAACTTCTTTACTGTGAAATTAAATAGGCAAGAAAATGTGTCCTTAATGTTCATGCATTTAAAAAAGTTTAATCAATGGAAGCTGGTATCTATGTCAGTGAGCAAATGGGTCAAAATTAGTTTTTCATTCCCATCTGTCTGTCTCATTTTTCTCTTCTAAGGAAAAAATTTTAAGCCTGTAGACTTGACAGGAACCTTAATTTTCATGAGGCTTTCTAGTAATATAGTATGTGTCAATCAAATACTCTAGTACTCTTAATGAAATCATGGATCAACCCATATAATCTACAAATTGTATTATTTGTAGATCCTGAAGGTTTTACATTAAGTGATAAAATAATTATGTTCACATGAAACCCAGTGAATAATTTTTAAAAGAAATAGATGCTAAGGAGGGTATGATGATCCTGAGAAAAGGTGTAGACACACAAACAATAACAATTTAAGTGTTATTTTAAATAACTGCTCCTGGGCCCTGGCCAGTTTGGCTCAGTGGTTAGAGTGGCAGCCTTCAAACTGAAGGGTCCCAGGTCTGATTCAGGCCAAGGTCACATACCTGGGTTGCAGGTGCATGTGGGAGGCAAGTAATCACATCGATGTTTCTCTCTCTCTCCCTTCTGTTCTCTCTGAAAAGCAATGGGAAAAATATCCTCAGGTGAGGATTTTTTAAAATTAAAAATTGGTCCTGGGACACATAAAATAATGGAGAGAAACCTATTAGCAAGATATGCCATAAAACCCTTTGTGGCATTTTTTTTCTGTTGAAAGACTTCACCAGTTATTTATGAAATTAAGTTTTATAAGAAAATTCTCTAGTATAGATTAGTTATCTCTAAGCTTATACATTGTTTTATTCCATTCATTGGTTGAGTTAATATTAAAAGCACGCAACAAAAGCCTTGGGTTGTTGGTACATAGTCTAGGTGAGTACACAGGACTGTATGTATCTTTCTTGTCTCTTTTGGTTTCCAGTAATCTCCCCCACCAAGGGTTAAATATAAAAGTTTTATTACTAGGAAACTGGAGTCTTATTGTAGAACCCAAGGACAATTACACATTAGGACTCAGGAGACAATGGAATCAGAAACCGATAGGCCTAGAACCAAGTAGCTGTCTTGGTCTCTACTGTCAGGTTTCTGCTCCCTCCACTTTTTTATGCATTCTCAGCTTCACTCCCCCCTCCCCCCTTCCCCTCTCCTCCTTTTCCCTCCCCTCCCCTCCCTCCCTCTGCTCCTTCCGCCCTCCCCACAGGCAACTGGGCTGCTGGCCCAAAGAGGAATAAACGTGGCTACCTTAGCCCATGTTTAGCATTTATTTCCTAGCTACAAGAAATCAAGAAAAACTACATCTTAATTGCCAATTTAAGGGCTTGGAGAATGTGACAAGCATTGCTTTAATCGGGAGTCCATTGCTGGACCAATAAAATCGTTAGGAAAAGTAAAGAAAAATAGAACAAGCATCTCAGTAGTGATTCTCCCTCGGGTCATACAGGGAAGTTCTCCAACGGGAAGTGTGGCTGGATATATCCCTTAATCTAAATAAGATTAGAATTTATTTTAATACACCACCTACCAGCAATTAGAACAACTGTAAACCTACTTTTGCTCCATTTGTATTTAAATAAATTATTTGAGGCTGCATTTTGGAAGAAAGGCTAAACAAATTCTAGCTCCCTCAGTTTTTCCTCAGTTACTATAAAGAAGAGCAGAAAGCAGGCGTTGAAATTTCAGAGCTCTCAGTGAACTTACCCAAAAGAAAGAATTTTACATTACAATGAATAAATTTTACAAAGAAGTAGCACTGATTCTAAAAGTTTTGCGTAATAATGAAATCCTTAATTGAACCCAAAGCCATTCAGAAAGGTGTGGCTTTCCTCCCTTTCAGGATTTTGGGGCAGGAGGTTGGAGATAACTGGTTTAAGGAACTTGAATTCATTGGTACCTGAGCCACCTGTCAGACACACCTCGTATTGGTAGCTCTGGGACAGGGTCCCCGCGCCGCTGACATCCACCAGGGGGCCCGGAAAGCGGCCCTCGGGCGCCGCGCAGCCCCCCGCCCAGGCGGCCCCGCTCCGCCGGCACAGCCGCACCGCCACGAGCGCCAGCAGCGAGAACAGGAAGAGCGACGACACCGCCGCCAGCGCGACCACCAGGTAGACGGTGAGCGGGTCGGCCGGGGCCGCGTCGGCCGCCGCGTCGCGCGCGGGCAGGTAGGGCTGCGAGAAGCCGTCCACCAGCAGCACGTGCAGCGTGACGCTGGCCGACAGCGGCGGCTCGCCGTTGTCCTTGACCAGCACCAGCAGCCGGTGGCGGGGCGCGTCGCGCTCGCTCAGCGGCCGCGCCGTGCGCACCTCGCCGTTGTGCGCCCACACGCCGAACAGCCCGGGCTCCGTGGCCCTGAGCAGCTGGTAGGACAGCCAGGCGTTCTGGCCCGAGTCGCCGTCCACCGCCACCACCTTGCCCACCAGGTAGCCGGGCTCGGCCGCCCTGGGCACCAGCTCGGTGCAGGGCGCAGAGCCGTTCTGCGGCGGGTACAGCACGAAGGGCGCGTTGTCGTTGGCGTCCAGCACGCGCACGCGCACCAGCGCCTGGCCGCTCAGCGCCGGCGCCCCGCGGTCGGTGGCGCGCACGCGGAACTCGAAGGCCTGCAGGGCCTCGTAGTCCAGCGCCCGCAGGGCGAACAGGTGGCCGTTGTCGGCGTTGACCGACACCAGCGAGGCCAGCGGCAGGCCGGGGTCCGGGGGCGGCAGCAGCGAGTAGGTGAGCTGGGCGTTGGCGCCCGCGTCGGCGTCGGTGGCGCTGACGCTGCCGATGTGCAGGGCGGGGCTGTTGTTCTCGGGGACGAAGAGGGTGTAGGAGGTTTGGGTGAAGGCGGGGGCGTTGTCGTTGACGTCGGAGACCAGCACGGTTATGTGGTGCTGGGTTGTCAGCCTGGGGGTCCCCATGTCGGTGACGGTGATGGTGACGTTGTACTCGGCTCTGCTCTCTCTGTCCAGTGGTTTTTCGGTGACCAAAGTGAAGAAATTCTTGAACGTTGGTTTCAGGATAAAAGGGAGATCATCTTGAATTGAGCAAACCATCCTTCCGTTGTCCCCAGAGTCTTGGTCTCGTAAGCTAAAAACAGCGACCACCATTTCAGGGGACGAATTTTCTGGTATGGGGCTGGTAAGAGATGTTATGACTATTTCCGGTGGGTTGTCATTCACATCTACAACCCGAACTAAAATTGCTGATTTCCCCGAGAGACTCCCACCGTCAATGGCCTGAATATTTATTGTATAAGACTGAATTAACTCAAAATCCAGAGGCCCTTTTAAATGGACTTCACCAGTAACTGGATGGATTTCAAATGTTTTCCGTATGTCTCTGGAGACGTGCGAAAATGAGTAAGTTAGTTCTCCATTTATTCCTGCGTCTAAATCTGTAGCAGACACCTTGACGACTGAGGAGTCCAGAGGGCTGTTTTCTGGTACTTGAACCTCATAGACAGGCCTGTCGAACTCTGGGGCATTGTCATTGATATCTAAAACCAGCACACGCACCACTGCAGTTCCAGATCTGGGCGGAGACCCACCATCCACCGCTGTTAGCGTCAATCTAACCTCAGGCTCCTTTTCTCTATCCAGAGATTGGTCCAGTACCAGCTCTGGGTAATGTCTGCCCTCCTCACTGTCTTGTAATTTAAGGTGGAAATGAGGATTGGGACTTAAGGTGTAGTTTTGGACACCATTCTTTCCTACATCCAAATCCTGAGCACTCTCCATTTGGAATGAGGTTCCTGGAGCAGCACCTTCTGAGATTTTCAAAAGTATGTCTTTATCTAGGAACATGGGAGTGTGATCATTTATATCTTTGACCCAAAGCTCAGCTCGAAAAAATTGCAAAGGATTTTCAAGTAACACCTGGAAATGCAATATACATGGCTCTGTGAGATCGCAAAGTGCCTCCCGGTCCAGTTCCTCATTTAAAAGCAAGTTGCCAGTCTGCTGATCCAGCCACAAGTATGATTTATAATCGTCAAAGATTACTCTGGCCCCCCGCGCAGCCAGGTCTTCCACACCCAAACCTATGTCTTTCACCAGGTTCGCTATAAAGGATCCTGTCTCCGTTTCCTCTGCCACAGGATAGCGCCTGGTCTCTGAACACACCAAAGACCCTCCCAGGAAAACAAAGAAAAGCAGCACTTGCCTTATGTGCTGAGGGCTCCCCTCTCCCAGCTCCATGGCTCCTTAGCCAAACGCCGTTCTTCAGAAATGTTTCAGCTGAATCTGAAACAGCTCCAGGAGTTGCTCCTCTCTATCAGCCCAGACTTTTGGTAATCTATAGATTTATAATCCTGTCGTGCTGGTTTTGTTGGCTGCCTAGCTTTCTTCTGAAAGCCCCCTTTTCCTCCCTGCTGCTTTAGCGCTCTCAGTTCCACTGCTTAACGGAAGCCAGTGGCTCCTGGTGTAACAAAAAGTACCCTGCCTTATCCTGCAGCGCCACCAAGCGACTCCGCAGACTCTCGGGTTTTAAACAGAGTCAAATAAATTTCAGACAAAATATTAATCTACCTTGTGTGTTTACTGATGGATTTAAATGATATTTTCTCCTATATTCCTATTTTCTTTTCCAAGTTGCATTCTTTGCCATATGGGATGCTGTCATTCTTCGGTCCTTAACACAGTAAACCACAATCGGCTAGAACTGTGGTGTCTATAAAAAGCACATTTAAGATAAAGCTCCAACCTCAAGTAAGTTATGCTCTCTCATCTTTAAGTAAGTTATAAAGACAATATACAAAACAACTAAAAATAATTAACATGGCTCTTTTATGTAATAGACTTATGAGCAAAAGGTCTGCAGAAAAACTAGAGGTCCTAGTTGTCCCTAGCTGTCAGCAAATACTCTAAGACAGTAAGAGTAAGGCTGTGCTCTGGAAACTGAACCTGGTATATGCAAATTGTTGTTTGGGGGAAACTGGCATTTCAGGCTGGGTAAAGAGTACCATTTACTTAGGGATACTCCCTAGGAGACTCATCTGGCAGCAGTAGAAAGTAAATACTCAACAGTACTGAATAAAATAAAATAGGTCTACTTTCTGAACATTAAAAAATGTTGAACAAACTATACCCCAGTTTAGTTGTGGAACTGAATTCCATTTTGCAGACCCAGGTCTTCCAGAAGCATAATTCTAAATGTGTTATTCATCCATTCAATAATTTGTTCAGCAAATATTTATTGACCATATATTTTGTGCTAGACATGGTTACAAGTGTAAGCAATGGAGTGGAAAACAGACAGACATAGTTTCTGTCCTGAACTATGGAGGCAGAAAAATGACCACACATTAAAAATAGAGCATACTGGATGCCATGGTAGCCAAAGCTGATGCTACTATAAGAGCAAAGATGAGGGCTATCTAACCAGAATTTGGATGTACAGGAAAGACTTTTCTGGAGAAAGGACATTCTAAATTGGTACATGAAAAATGAGTATGAACAATCCAAACAAAAATTCAGCATGGGGTAAAATTTCCAGGAAACTGAAAAATGTGATATCCAAAATGAGAGAAGTGCTTTGGAAGAACTGAAATAGGATCCATATGGTTGAGCCATACAGCAAAAGGAGAGAAACTGTGAGAGTTGAGACTGGGAAGATGAGCAAATATTTTGTGAGCCATGCCAAGGCATTCGGACTCTGCCTACATCAGTGGAAATGCAAGATTATTAAGGGGTTTTAAATAGAAAAATGGCATAACCATGTTTTTACTTTTCAGAAGATCATCCTATTTCGGAGTTGAGCATAAATTAGAGAGGAGTAAGACTAGAGGCAGGAGACTGATTAGAAGTTGTTGCAGTAACACAGGTAAGAGATGACACTGGCCTCAACCAGAAATGCAGTATTTAGAATAATCAAGATAAAATATATTGGATGTGGTGATAGATTAGACATAGAGGCACTGGAATAAGGAATGAAGGTAAATATACTTTTTTCCAGGCTTAGGGAACTGAGTAAGTGGTAGTGCTATTAAGTGATAAAGTGAATATGGGAGGAGGAGATGGAGAGAAATGGGTATGTAGCTGGAGAAGATGTTTTGGTTTGAGGAAGGGAAATTTTTAACTTAAAACATGTTGAGTTTGAGGTGTCCATAGAGGAGCCATATAAATAGTTAAGTAAATGAGCTTCCATTACATAAATGCAGGTGAGAAAAGAGGTTTAGGCTGCAGAGACAAATTTAGAATTTATTGGTATAAATGGTGATTGAAGACCTTCGAGAAGGAATATAAGCTGGATTAAGAGAAGTATGTTTGAATTTGGGATTTCAGCTCTTAGAGACCACCATCTCCAGGAAGTGGCCATAGTCATAGGTGGCTAGACTAGACTAAAAGTGGATGTCACTAGAGATGAAGGAGGTGAGAAACAGGTCAAACTCCTGTATTCAGAATTGTGGCAAGGTATGGACAGAGGCAAACTATAAGAAGTTATATTGGAGAATAAAATGTCTTTACAGCAATTCTCTCTCATGATCTTGATTCATTTAAATCTAAACTGATATCCAGTTGATTTGATTCTCTCATTTGATGACTCTTATGTGCAAAGACTATTTAGGCAGGACAGTTTGCGAATTTCTTTCAGCACATTGAAGATATCTTATTTTCTTTTAGCTTCTATTGTTACTGTTGAGAAATTGTCAACGTGGAACATGGCTGTCAGTCTAACAGTCTTGTGTTTAAAGGTTAAATATCTTTTCCCTTTGTTTTTTCCTTTTTTAAAAGGAAAATGACTTTCTGAAATTTCACAATGATGTTTCTAGGAATGGTTATCTCTTATTTATCCTGCTAGGTTTATCTCTTGAATCTGCATTGGTGTGTTCATCAATTCTGGAAAATTTCCAGCAATTATTTTTTCAAATAATTGATCTTTCTGTTATTCTGGTTAAATATATGTTAAACCTTTTTATTCTGTCCTATGTTTCTAACCATCCTCTCCATACTTTTCATCTTATTAACTCTCTGAGCTGCATTCTAGATAAATTATTCTCTGGCCTCTTTCACCCTATGAATTCTTCATTTGGGTGTATGTAATTTTCTATTGAAACTTTCAGTCAGTTTTAAATTTTGATTATCATATTTTTCAGTTTTAGGAGTTCTATTCTGTTCTCTTCTAACCTTACAAATTTATTGTTTCTTGTTGGCTGTACATCTTCAAGTATAACTTTTATTTCTACTTGATTGCATCTTTTTGGAAAAAAAAGTCTTTATTGATCTCAGAGGAAGGGAGAGGGAGAGAGAGAAATATCATTGATGAGAGAGAGAGTCATTGATCAACTGCCTCCTGCAAGTCCCTTTCTGGGGATCGAGCCAGCGACCCAGGCATGTGCCCTGACCCGAGTCAAACCTGTACCTCCTGAATTATAGGTAGATGCTCAACCACTTAGCCATGCCAGCCAGGCTATAACTTTTATTTCAATTAAAGTGGTTAACATGTTATAAACTGTGTCTGATAGTTAAAATATCTGAAGTGTTTACAAATTTATTTCTGTGTTCTGTTTTGTTTTTTTCCTGCTGGCTCTCACTCATAGTGTCATGTTTCTTTGTGTATGCAGTTATTTTTGTGTCCAAGTTAAGAACAAAATTATTTATATAAATAATTCTAGGCTTAGAATGAATAAACATTTTTCATAGAAGCTCTACATTTGGTTCCATCAGGATCTGTCAATGACCACCTTAAATCAAGTTCATTGCCCAAAATCAAGTTCAAAGCTGATATGCCACACAAGGGCTCATCCACCCATTTGTAAAAATGTAGTTCTTAGGGATTCATATTTATTAATATAAGGGTCTTCTATAAACTTCTCAATTTGTTATGCTTTGATTTTCTCCCTCATTATATAAACTGTCCACTTACAGGTTGGAGGCATCAAAATAGAGGCTCACATTTCCCAAGATTCCAAATGTTCCCAGGGAAAAAGTGGATTTGGGGCTCATTCATCTCTCTAGGTTACCTTTAAATAGTAACCGTGACCTGACAATATATGAGTCCTATCAGATAATTGTTTTCAGTGGAAGTGTTGGTCTATATAATCTATACTATTCTTATTAAGAATGTAAAGTATTGAGGATATTGTTATGTCTCAAAATTAAAAGTGAACTCTTAGCTTCCATGAGGTATGGGCAATTGATCTTCTCAAGAGCATAGAGAAAAAATATTTATTCTTAGCCACTGATCAATACTAAATCAACCCCATAATGCTGCAATCAATTTAAACAATCTCTTAGAAGAGACTATTTCTGTCATGCACATTGGTATAGTTCTCACTTCTCTCTGCACCCTTACTCTCCTATATATAAACACATATCTTCTTTCCTACATCTGTTTCTTCTCTCTTCCATTATGTTTGTTTATATATTTGTATTTTCTACAAATATGATATTTATTATATGGATATATGGCACTATACTTTTATGTCTTTCTTCCTTTTAAAACATTTGGGATTTATCCATGTGGTGGTATGTACACCTAGTTCATTCCTTTTGCTCACTGCATAATACTCCTTCACAACCAGGTTCTACATTTTATTGACTGATTGCTTTACTGATGGGTGACTTATGTAGGTGGACTGCTATTGTTTGCCTTTCCAAGATGGACATTCTCATGCACATCATCCTGTAAAGCCAGGTAAGAGTGTTTTGGCTTATATGCACCAGAGTAGAATTGCTGGATTATAGGATATGTACATACTAAATACTACATACGTTTTCTCAAAATAAGCAGTACATGCTACTTCCTATTGTTCCACTTTATAGTATCCATTGAACTGTCCACTTATAGATTGGAGACATTATAATTTCTAACACCATGAGGCATCTATAAACCATAAATACAGGCCTCATTTCCTCTTTGTGAATATCTGAGAGAGGCCACAAAGTATTAAGGATTTTTTCCATTTACTCTTAAAAATCAGTAGGAAAGTGAACCTAATCTATTTCATTAGTTTGAATTTTCATTTCAATTTTTTAAGAAGTTTTTAATCTGTACTCTTCCGGTGGAGGATTATTTTACTCAGGATGATACTATAAACTACACTCTAGTTACATAATAAACAATATAAAATAACACAAACTAAAACTAGCAAACATGGTTATATTTGCAGAAAACAAAATAGGAATATCAAGTACCAAAACATTATAAGACTCTTCTCCCCGAACAGCATCATCATCAACAACAAAGAAAAATTATTTAAGATATCAATAATTTCTTTTTTTTAAAAAAATATATCTTTATTGATTTCAGAGAAAGGAAAGGAGAGGGAGAGAGAGAGATAGAAACATCAACGACAAGAAAGTCATTGATCGGCTGCAGCCCACAACCCGGGCATGTGCCCTGACAGGGAATCAGACCCTGATCTCCTGGATCCTAGGTCGATGCTCAACCGCTGAGCCATGCCCGCCCGGGCGAGATACCAATAATTTCTAATGTGGTCACTTTTACTTTGTCAAAAAGTAAAATCTTGAAAAACCCTATATAACAAAAAACAAATGAAAGAAACCCTAGTACTAAATACGGTGAGGTAGCATTTTTAACATTTATGATGAAATTTTTGAGGAGAAAGTGTGATAAAATCCAATATACTTCCCACCCAGATTCAGTAGCATTTAACATTTTTGCTTTATCTATACTTTAATGAAATGTCTAGAAGTAAATGACATGTACCCCGGAATTCGCTCTTAAGACGTCAATTAGCAATTCCAAATAATCAACATTGTCTTGCATAACAACAGCGCCATTACCACAACAAAACTTAGCAGTAACTTCGTTAAGATGCCATTTTTTCAACTTTTTAAAATAAATTTAAGAAACATCAATTTGTTGTTCCATTTAAGAATTTTTTTTAAATCCTCGCTTTTAATCCATTGCTTTTCCAGAGAGAGGGTGGAAGGGAGGGAGGGAGGGAGGGGAAAAGAGAGAGAGAGAGAAAGAGAGAAACATCGATTGGTTGCCTCCCACAGGTTGGTGGGGCACAGGGAGAACCTGTAACCCAGGTATGTGCTTCTTGATGGGAAATCGAACCCAAGACCCTTAGGTCCGCAGGCGACTCTCTAACCACTAAACCAAACCAGCCAGGGCTGTTCCACTTACTTATGCATCATTGGGTGAGTCTTGTATGTGCCTGACAGGGAACCAAACCTATAAACTTGTATCAGGATGACGCTCTAACCATCTGAGCAACCAGGCAAGAGCCAATATACACACACACAAATTATGTTTCTATTTATTTATAGCCATTAATAAAGATTTTTAAACGCAACTGCAAGAGCATGAGGAATAATGCATGCAACTACTGTACAACCCAAATCCACTACAAGTCAGCAACGTATCCCCAGGTTGCCAAGGGTAAGGAAAGATGAAGTGTTTAAAATAACTTTTTATTGGATACCGAATCCAAAGCTATTCCTAAAGTTCTCATTTTCCTCTGCATTCCTACTAGTGTCGAGGACTGGAAGACTGGGAATGATCGGCTTTAGAAATTTAAACTCATCTGTCCCAGTACCTCCCGTCAGACACACCTCGTACGGGTAGCTCTGGGACAGGGTCCCCGCGCCGCTGACATCCACCAGGGGGCCCGGAAAGCGGCCCCCGGGCGCCGCGCAGCCCCCCGCCCAGGCGGCCCCGCTCCGCCGGCACAGCCGCACCGCCACGAGCGCCAGCAGCGAGAACAGGAAGAGCGACGACACGGCCGCCAGCGCGACCACCAGGTAGACGGTGAGCGGGTCGGCCGGGGCCGCGTCGGCCGCCGCGTCGCGCGCGGGCAGGTAGGGCTGCGAGAAGCCGTCCACCAGCAGCACGTGCAGCGTGACGCTGGCCGACAGCGGCGGCTCGCCGTTGTCCTTGACCAGCACCAGCAGCCGCTGGCGGGGCGCGTCGCGCTCGCNCCAGCACCAGCAGCCGGTGGCGGGGCGCGTCGCGCTCGCTCAGCGGCCGCGCCGTGCGCACCTCGCCGTTGTGCGCCCACACGCCGAACAGCCCGGGCTCCGTGGCCCTGAGCAGCTGGTAGGACAGCCAGGCGTTCTGGCCCGAGTCGCCGTCCACCGCCACCACCTTGCCCACCAGGTAGCCGGGCTCGGCCGCCCTGGGCACCAGCTCGGTGCAGGGCGCAGAGCCGTTCTGCGGCGGGTACAGCACGAAGGGCGCGTTGTCGTTGGCGTCCAGCACGCGCACGCGCACCAGCGCCTGGCCGCTCAGCGCCGGCGCCCCGCGGTCGGTGGCGCGCACGCGGAACTCGAAGGCCTGCAGGGCCTCGTAGTCCAGCGCCCGCAGGGCGAACAGGTGGCCGTTGTCGGCGTTGACCGACACCAGCGAGGCCAGCGGCAGGCCGGGGTCCGGGGGCGGCAGCAGCGAGTAGGTGAGCTGGGCGTTGGCGCCCGCGTCGGCGTCGGTGGCGCTGACGCTGCCGATGTGCAGGGCGGGGCTGTTGTTCTCGGGGACGAAGAGGGTGTAGGAGGTTTGGGTGAAGGCGGGGGCGTTGTCGTTGACGTCGGAGACCAGCACGGTTATGTGGTGCTGGGTTGTCAGCCTGGGGGTCCCCATGTCGGTGACGGTGATGGTGACGTTGTACTCGTCTCTGCTCTCTCTGTCCAGTGGTTTTTCGGTGACCAAAGTGAAGAAATTCTTGAACGTTGGTTTCAGGATAAAAGGGAGATCGTCTTGAATTGAGCAAACCATCCTTCCATTGTCCCCAGAGTCTTGGTCTCGAATACTGAAAACAGCGACAAGGGTCTGTGGCGCGTTTTCTGGTACTCTGTTTGTAATTGATGACATGGTCACTTCTGGTGCATTATCGTTGATATCCATTACTGTAATCAGAAGAGTGCATTTTTCTGAAAGACCCCCACCATCTGTTGCCTGAACATTTATAGTGTAGGACTGTATTACTTCAAAATCCAAGCTAGATATCAAACGAACTTCACCAGATGTTGGGTTGATTTCAAATGTTTTACGAATGTCTTCAGATGCATGTAAAAATATGTAAGATATTTTCCCATAATTTCCTGCATCCAAGTCCTTAGCAGAGATGGTAATTACCCAGGAGCCAATGGCTGTGTCCTCCGGGACCTGTACCTCATAGAGCCTCTGAGAAAACTCAGGGGAGTTGTCATTTATGTCCAAGACCTTGATGAGAACCAAAGTTGTTCCAGACCTGGGTGGGGACCCACCATCCAGTGCTACAAGTGTTAATCTGAGCTCAGGCTCCTCTTCGTGATCTAACATTCTGTCCAGGACCAGTTCTGGGTATATCTTTCCATCACCACTGTCTTGAATTTTAATGTAGAAATGAGAATTGGGGCTAATTGTGTAGTTTTGGAGACTGTTGCTTCCTATGTCCAAATCTTGGGCACTCTCCATTAGGAATGTTGTTCCAAGAGTGGTACTTTCTGATATTTTCAAAAGTATTTCCTTGTCCAGGAATGTAGGGGAGTGATCATTTATATCTTTGATGTGCAGCTCAGCCCGAAAAAACTCTAAAGGGTTTTGCAATAACACCTGAAAATGCAACACACAGGGCTCGGTGGAGCCACACAGCTCTTCTCGGTCTAGTTTCTCATTTAGGAGCAAATCTCCAGTCAACAAATTGAGGTGTAAATGCTTTTCATTATCATCAGAAACTATCCTGGCCTCCCGTGAGGACAGCTCCTCCACCCCAAGCCCCAGATCTCTTGCCAGATTGGCTATGAAAGATCCAATTTCTGTTTCCTCTACCACAGAATAGCGCACAGATCCAGGACCCGCCTCAGAAAATCCCAGCAAAACAAAGAGAATCAGGACTTGCCTTTTCCGCAGAGTGAGTGCTCCTTTGATCTCCATGGTTCCTTCAAGCAGCCTCTTTTGTGGACAAATTTAAGTTTAGCCCTAATTTTGGAAGCCGATGCTCAGAGGGTGTATAGTCCTTCAGCAGCTCTGAAAGTGAAGCTCCTTAATGCCTCTCTTTCGAAAGGGTTGTATGTTCTCTGTTCCCTTGAATAATGGAGCCCACAATGTGGTCCATGCACTGTTTTCATCTTATCCTGCAGCGCCACCATGTGTCTCTATGAATCTTTTTTCAGTAATTTTTTTTTTTAATCTTTGAAAAAGTAATTCATGAATACATCTGGAGTATTTTAAAGCAAATCCCAGACATCATATTTTTATTTCTAAATACTTCATAAAGTATCTGTAATAGATAAGGACTTTAAAAATATAACTACCATACCACTATCACAATCAACACATTTAGCAATAATTCCTGGATATAATTAATACTCAATCTGTGTTTTGTTACCCCAGTTTTTTCCAACAATGTTTTTAATTGTTGGTTTGTTTGAATTGGGATCCAAATAAGGTCTGTTTAGTACAATTATTACCACTGTTGTGAATGCTTGACATGAAGAATCCATAAAAATTTCTTGAACTGAAGAAATGGTATTTTATTCAGGCCATGTCTGTACTAATTGCTAATATATTCTCTCCTCAACTCTTGTAAATACTTGAGTTCAGTCAATTATAGTTAGTAACATCATTATTTTTTTCATATATATAAAATACACATGTAAGGAAATGGCATATAACAATAATCCTTGTATTTATGGAGCTCACAGGCTAGAAAATGTGGTGGTAATTAAAATATCACAATATATGTATAGATAAAGAGTAATATAGAAAGACCTAGAAGGGACATCTTAGACCTAGGAGGCAGTATAGCATAGTGATTAAGAACATGGATTTTGAAACCAAAATGTCTGCATTAGAATTCTAGTCTGCCACTTACTATCTGCAGTCTTGGGCAACTTATGTATCTCTGTTTCCTGACTTGTAAAATATGGGTAATAATAGTATTTAGCTTCTAGGATTCTTATAGTCTGGCATGCTAAGAAGCTATAACACTTTATTTATTTATTTATTTATTTATTTATTTATTTATTTATTTATTTATTTTAAAGGGGGCATTTAAAAAAATATCTTTATTGATTTCAGAGAGAGGAAAGGAGAGGGAAAGAGAGAGATAGAAACATCAATGATGAGTCATTGATCGAGCCCACAATCCAGGCATGTGTCCTGACCGGGAATTGAACCCCGATTGCCTGGATCCTAGGTTGATGCTCAACTGCTGAGCCATGCCCTGCCGGGCAACACTTTATATCTCTTTAAGCCAGTGGTCCTCCATCATTTCCCCACTAAGTGCAGTAAAGATAGGAAGTAATATCAATACTTAACTGATTGAATAATATCATACAGGTTTTTGTTGCAGCTTTCATTTAGAGGGGAAAGAACTGGTTCCTAGTTCCACCTCTGAAAATGGAAAAAAAAAGAATTTAATTAGCTTGCATGGAAATACTTTTCCCTCCATTTTCCTTCCTTCTTTCCTTCCTTCCCTCCTTCCATTAATCCTCACCCAAGGATATTTTTCCCATTGATATTTATTTATTTATTTATTTATTTATTTATTTATTATTTATATTTTTACATAACTATTTTTAAAATATATCTTTATTGATTTCAGAGAGAGGAAGGGAGGAGAGAGAGATAGAAACATCAATGATGAGAGAGTCATTGATTGGCTGCCTCCTTGCACTCCCCCAACTGGGGATTGAGCCCACAACCCGGGCATGTGCCCTGACTGGGAATCAAACTGAGATCTCCTGGATCCTAGGCTGACATTCAACCACTGAGCCACTGCCAACGGGGGTTCCATTGATTTTTAGAGAGATACGGAGAGAGGGAGGGGAGGAGGAAGGGAGAGAGAGAGAAATATTAATGGGAGAGAGACATCCATTGGTTACCTCCCACACATGGCTAATCCAGGTATGTGCCCTTGACTTGGAATTGAACCTGCAGCTCTTAGGTGTGGGGACCGATGCTCTAAGCATTGAGCGTCACCAGCCAGGGCTCCCTCCATTTTTCTTGAATTCAAAGAATAATGAGCTCACACAGTTCAAAAGCACTGGCAGTGAAATCTTAGCTTTCAAGAAGTTTAAACAGATTATTTTGTACATGCTAGAGCAAGAGATTGTACTTCCTGACAATATTACCAGACTAATAACCAGCCCTCTACAATGTTAAGATAAAGTTTAAAAATATCCTCAAGATGTAGTTTCTGGCATTCATTCTTGTCTGTGGCACTAGAGGCAATAGAATCAATCATTTTACTCACCCTCACTAACCTCTTTCCAATGAGCACTCTCTCTCCTACTCTCTCTTCCCCTCCCCCCCTCACACACACACATTTCTTTTCCTCCTATACACTGACTCATGTTTGTCCATCTATACTTTTCACAACATATAGGCTTTAGATTTTTTTATGAAATTTATTGGAAAACTCGTCTTCAAACAGTGAAGTTTTTTCTTCTGTAATGTAGCCAGATCATTAAAGGAAAGAGTGGTTGGTTGGTTCCTGCACAGCATGAGACAAACCTTCCTTCTACAATGGTTGAATTTTTAAAAATGAGAATCTTGGAGGATTATCTTTTGATGCTTTTCAATATTCTACATATATCAACATATATATCTGAGTAAAATAGATTTGAAACTTTGGATTGCTACCCATTAGTAGGTCACTAAGTCAACTTATGATGACCACATTTGAAAAACAAAATATAATGGAATAAGTAGGCAATTTTAGATTGCATCAACAAGAATGCTGAACACTATTGAAAAACATTTCTTTGTATGTTACAGAATATACCCAACATAATTTTTCTATTGGCTGTCATTTTTTAAGTTTAAAAATCAGCGCCCACTCTGTGTGTGTGTGTGTGCATGTACACAGAAGGCAAAAAATATACACAGTAGCACACGAGTCCACTATGCTATACGAAGTGTTATTCAGGTGCCTTCTGTCAACTGCATTGCATTATAGCTTTGCAATATTCAAGAGACACCTGGAAAGTTATGACTTCATATTCCAAGGTCTGCGAGTGGTCACAATATTAATGCACCTTCACAATCACACTCCAGGATGTATAATGAAGAGATGCTGAGAAAATGGCCTGGCCCTTTCAACAAGTTGATTACACTCATGCTTGTATCATAGGACACGATTTTTCAAGTGTATGTTCAATAAACATTTTAAAATGTTAACTAAAATGCAGTGAACTTAAACAAAAATGGCATTGTAAAATAGCAATCATGATTAAACGTGCAGCGTGACGCTGGCCGACAGCGGCGGCTCGCCGTTGTCCTTGACCAGCACCAGCAGCCGGTGGCGGGGCGCGTCGCGCTCGCTCAGCGGCCGCGCCGTGCGCACCTCGCCGTTGTGCGCCCACACGCCGAACAGCCCGGGCTCCGTGGCCCTGAGCAGCTGGTAGGACAGCCAGGCGTTCTGGCCCGAGTCGCCGTCCACCGCCACCACCTTGCCCACCAGGTAGCCGGGCTCGGCCGCCCTGGGCACCAGCTCGGTGCAGGGCGCAGAGCCGTTCTGCGGCGGGTACAGCACGAAGGGCGCGTTGTCGTTGGCGTCCAGCACGCGCACGCGCACCAGCGCCTGGCCGCTCAGCGCCGGCGCCCCGCGGTCGGTGGCGCGCACGCGGAACTCGAAGGCCTGCAGGGCCTCGTAGTCCAGCGCCCGCAGGGCGAACAGGTGGCCGTTGTCGGCGTTGACCGACACCAGCGAGGCCAGCGGCAGGCCGGGGTCCGGGGGCGGCAGCAGCGAGTAGGTGAGCTGGGCGTTGGCGCCCGCGTCGGCGTCGGTGGCGCTGACGCTGCCGATGTGCAGGGCGGGGCTGTTGTTCTCGGGGACGAAGAGGGTGTAGGAGGTTTGGGTGAAGGCGGGGGCGTTGTCGTTGACGTCGGAGACCAGCACGGTTATGTGGTGCTGGGTTGTCAGCCTGGGGGTCCCCATGTCGGTGACGGTGATGGTGACGTTGTACTCGGCCTGGCGCTCTCTGTCCAGGGCCCCATTTGTTACCAGGGTGTAGAAATTCTCGTCAGTTGGTTTCAGGAGGAAGGGAAGATCATCTTGGATGGAGCAAACCATTTTCCCATTTTCTCCAGAGTTTCGGTCTTTAATCCTAAAAACAGCCAGTATCGTCTCAGGAGAGTTCTCAGGAAAGCGGTTGGAAAGTGCTGACACGGTCCGTTCAGAGGCATTATCATTGGTGTCCAATACCTCAACCCAAACCGTACATCTTCCAGAAAGGCCGCCACCATCAACTGCCTGTATGTTTATTTTGTAAGACTTCACTAGCTCATAATCAAGCAACACTCTGAGAACGATTTCTCCAGAAGGATTGATTTGAAAGGTGGTTCGAACATCTTCAGAAGCATCGAAAAGCGAATAGGACATGTTTGCATAGACTCCAGCGTCTACATCTCCTGCAGTGACTTTAGCGATAAGGGAACCTACAGGGCTGTTCTCTGGAGCCTGGGTATGGTAGGTTGGCTGAGAAAACTGCGGGGCATTGTCATTGACGTCCAGGGTCACAATCGGTAAAGTGGAGATCCCAGACCTGGGTGGAGACCCGCCATCGAGCGCCGCCGTGAGTGTTAACCTGAGCTGCTTCTTCCTGTCTAGCGCCTTGTCCAGCACTAGCTCTGGACAAATCATGCCTTGGTCACTCTTACTAATTTTAATGTGGAAAAAGGGGTTGGGGTTGACAGTGTAGTTCTGGATACCGGTAAGTCCTTCATCTGAATCCTGTGCTCTCTTGAGTGGAAGTGTTGTCCCTTCAGCTGTATTCTCTACGATTTTTAAGACTGTCTCTTTGTCCTGAAACATTGGTGAATGATCATTTATATCCCTGACCCTCAGTTCAGCCCGGTAAATCTGAAAGCAGTTACTCAATAAATTTGGAAATACAGCATACAGGGCTCCATGGAGCCACACTGCTTCTCCCAGTCCAGTATTTCATTTGTAAGCAACTCCCCAGTTTGAGAATCCAGGAACAAGTGTTGTTTGTTATCATCAAAAACCACCCCGGCTCCCCTTGCAACCAGCCCCTGGTCCCCTAGCCCCAGATCCTTTGCCAGATTGACCACAAAGGATCCTCTCTCTGTTTCCTCTGTCACTGAATATAGTCCAAACCCGAGTCCTGCCAAGGATACTCTCCAAAACAGAAAAAGAGAGAGAGGACTTGCCTTTGTCTTTGGCAGTGCAACCCTCCAGCCTCCATAGCTTCTTCTGAATGCATCTTTTGTCAATATTGGTCACAATCACAGCTCCCAGCACAAAGAAACAGCAGTTGCAAACACCAGACCTACACCATGTAGTAGCAGGGGCCTGAGGTTTTGGTGTTTGTTCGCAGTCTTGAAGAGCTATGGCTTTTCTCCCAGCCTGCTTGCCGCATCCTTCCTTTTCTTGTTAGTGACTTCTGCAGCATCCTTAGTTCAATTCTTTATTTGGTCTCTTTAGCCTGCAGCACCACTGCCTGGCCTCCAACAGATTCAAATGGCTGTACCCAAAGTGTCTTGGGTGTATATTTATAAATTTCTTCTTTAGTGGATCATTTAAATATTTCATTTTTCTTTTGTTTGTTTTGTAAAATATAATGCTGAGATAGAGAACTGTTTGGGTTGTTGAGATTTTCCACTGCTTCATGGGGAGAGTAAAAAATCCAACAGTTGCAAAAAGAATGCTTCTGGCAGTTAACTCTGTGAACCTTATTGTGCTATATTTAGTTCTATGCTGGGCCTTTCACTCCTGAAACTACCCCTGGGGAAATGTCAGGAACTAAAGGGAAATTGTGGTGACTTCTGAGACCACCAAAATAATAGGTTTTCCTTTTCCAGAAACATTGGGGATAGGAACACGAAGAACTGACGAAAGAAACTCGTTTCACAACTTCTTCAACAGATTTCTTTGAAACCTGATTACGTTACCTAAAGAGACATCACTCTATAATCTAGAAGGGAGCATTTAAGTTGTCCCTTCTCTGTGCTCCCCTAAAATCTTGTATAACTGTCCTGTAAATATTATTGCTTCCTGTGTCATGCCAATCGGTCCCTCCTTAAGGATGGAAACTATTTCTTTGTCATCTTTGGGTTGCAAATCAGACACTCACTATGTGCTCGCTGTATTCAAGCGTGCATAAACAAACCCTTGAGTAGGGTAAACACAATTTTCAGTGTTTTTAAATTTTTGCTGCCTAAAAATTCTATTCCTTCACTTATTCTTTGCAATTTTGTTCCCTTTCTTTAATATGTCTTGTTTTTCTTACATTAGCTTTAAAATTATTTGCAGAATTTTAAAAGGGACTGACCTTTACTTTAAGGGCCCTCTTAATTAGAGTCTATTGGGCTCTAATTTCTCTTCACCAAAGAAAGGAAGGTAAAGTAGACCACACTAATCCCTATCCTGATACCACTGAAACTAAGAACAGATTATAACACCTGCCTCATACAGAATTTTATTCAAAGGCCTAATATCTAGAAAGAAGCTCTATTTTTTTCAATAATAAGTAAGAGACAATAAATTAAGGTATGTTAACAGGGGAAAGGCTAGCTACTGTCAGAAAACACTGTGTTGAATATAAAAGCCACACTATATAAACCTCTGCTTGATTATTTCTACTGGGGTTTCTTTTTAAAGTGAATAGGACTGCATTGTTAGCCATTAAAAACTTAATAAGGACCTCTGTTTTTTTCATACAGAATTAAAAGAAAAAATTATTAAATATTTCTATATGCTGCTGTGAAATGCCTGAACCTTGCTTTTTTGGTCTCCAGACCTAAACATATATATACGCATTTGATATCTTACAATGCTGTTTCTTATTTTCAGATAAAGCTGACTAGACATTTAATCATATCATAACAGAAATATTATATACTAAATTGGCAGACACTAATACAGGGAAAATAAAACTTATTTCTTAAAAAGTAACAATTTCAGAAAATTGGTATAATAAAAACTGAGGATGACAAATCAAAAAATATATCAGCTTCAAAAGGAAAATAGAAGTATCAGAAAATAAATATACAGATAACAAGCAGATTATTTCAATAATTGAAGTTCTAGAAAAGGAGAATTAAAATGAAAAATGTATTTAAATAAAAAGTCAATAATGGCATTTGTAGGGTGGGAAAATTTAATGATATCAATTTTTAAGGTAAAGCCTATTTCATCCACTGGGATTCTAATGAGAAATACATCACTGGGCTAAAGAATGACGGAAAGAAAATTTCTGAAGTTCAGCACAAATTGGAAATTGAGGATGAACTAAATGGAGAAAATTAAACAGCACCCTATTGGTGGTGAGCAAAAACAACTTAGTTGACAAAATGTATTCGAAGTTAAGGTCTTTATTAAGTAGGTTCCTATCAATAATTCCCAAAGCTATTCCAAAAGCAGGGATTTTCTTCCACTTACACCCAATAATCCAGAATTCAAGATTGGGGATAACCGGTTTTAGGAACTTTAACTGGTCGCTGAACCTCCCCGAGACACCTCAGTATCCTCAGTTTGCCAAGAAAAATAAAAGATTAAATATTTAAAATAAAAATCTTTATTGGATGTTGAATCCAAAGCTATTCCTAAAGTTCTCACTTTCCTCTGCATTCTTACCAGTGTCGTGGACTGGAAGATTGGGAATGATCGGCTTCAGAAATTTAAACTCATCTGTCCCAGTACCTCCCGTCAGACACACCTCGTACTGGTAGCTCTGGGACAGGGTCCCCGCGCCGCTGACGTCCACCAGGGGGCCCGGAAAGCGGCCCTCGGGCGCCGCGCAGCCCCCCGCCCAGGCGGCCCCGCTCCGCCGGCACAGCCGCACCGCCACGAGCGCCAGCAGCGAGAACAGGAAGAGCGACGACACCGCCGCCAGCGCGACCACCAGGTAGACGGTGAGCGGGTCGGCCGGGGCCGCGTCGGCCGCCGCGTCGCGCGCGGGCAGGTAGGGCTGCGAGAAGCCGTCCACCAGCAGCACGTGCAGCGTGACGCTGGCCGACAGCGGCGGCTCGCCGTTGTCCTTGACCAGCACCAGCAGCCGGTGGCGGGGCGCGTCGCGCTCGCTCAGCGGCCGCGCCGTGCGCACCTCGCCGTTGTGCGCCCACACGCCGAACAGCCCGGGCTCCGTGGCCCTGAGCAGCTGGTAGGACAGCCAGGCGTTCTGGCCCGAGTCGCCGTCCACCGCCACCACCTTGCCCACCAGGTAGCCGGGCTCGGCCGCCCTGGGCACCAGCTCGGTGCAGGGCGCAGAGCCGTTCTGCGGCGGGTACAGCACGAAGGGCGCGTTGTCGTTGGCGTCCAGCACGCGCACGCGCACCAGCGCCTGGCCGCTCAGCGCCGGCGCCCCGCGGTCGGTGGCGCGCACGCGGAACTCGAAGGCCTGCAGGGCCTCGTAGTCCAGCGCCCGCAGGGCGAACAGGTGGCCGTTGTCGGCGTTGACCGACACCAGCGAGGCCAGCGGCAGGCCGGGGTCCGGGGGCGGCAGCAGCGAGTAGGTGAGCTGGGCGTTGGCGCCCGCGTCGGCGTCGGTGGCGCTGACGCTGCCGATGTGCAGGGCGGGGCTGTTGTTCTCGGGGACGAAGAGGGTGTAGGAGGTTTGGGTGAAGGCGGGGGCGTTGTCGTTGACGTCGGAGACCAGCACGGTTATGTGGTGCTGGGTTGTCAGCCTGGGGGTCCCCATGTCGGTGACGGTGATGGTGACGTTGTACTCGGCTCTTTCTTCTCTGTCTAATGCCCTCTTTGTTACCAACGTGTAAAAGTTCTTGACTGAAGGTTTTAGAAGAAAAGGAAGGTCCTCCTGGATGGAGGAAATAGTTTTCCCATTGTCCCCAGAGTCAGGATCGGAAACGCTGAAAACAGCAACTACAATCTCAGGCGAGTTCTCTGGGATGGGGCTGGTCAGTGCAGACACGGTCACCTCTGGGGCATTATCATTGACATCCATCACCAGCAGGAGAAGAGTGCATTTTCCTGAAAGACCTCCCCCATCAGTGGCCTTGATGTCCACTTCATAAGACCGAACTGTTTCAAAATCTACCTGTTTTCTCAGTCGAATTTCTCCTGTCATCGGATTTACCTCCAAAGTTTTGCTAATATCATCTGAAGGCTGAAAGAACGAGTATACTATTCTTCCATTGATTCCACTGTCTATGTCGCTGGCAGAGACGGTGACGACCAGGGAGCCTGCGTTGCTGTTCTCAGGAATATGCACCTTGTAGAGTGGCTGCCCAAACTCAGGGGCATTATCGTTGACGTCCACCACTTCAATGCGCACCTGGGCGCTCCCATGCAGAGGCGGAGAGCCGCCGTCCAGCGCTGTCAGGGTTAATGTGATTTCAGGCTTCTCCTCCCGATCCAGCTCTTTGTCCAAAACCAGCTTTGGGTATTTTCTGCCATCGCTGCGATTGTGGGTTAGAACTTGAAAGTGAGGGTTGGGGCTGATTTTATAGTTCTGAACATTGTTGCTTCCTACGTCCAAGTCCAGAGCATTACTCAGGGGAAATGCTGTTCCTAGAGGACTGTTTTCCGGTATTTTTAGAATCATTTCTCTTTCACTGAACACAGGAGAATGATCATTTATGTCTTCCACCCTTAGTTCAGCCTGAAATATCTCTAAGGGATTTTCCATTAGCACTTGGAAATGTAGTACACAAGGCTCAGTGGAACCGCATAGCTCCTCCCGGTCTAGTTTTTCATTTATGAGCAAATCCCCGGTCTGAACCTTGAGCTGCAAATGCTCTTTGTGCCCCTGAGAAATGATCCGGGCCCCGCGGGTGGACATCTCTGTCAACCCCAATCCCAGGTCTTTTCCTAGATTTGCCACAAAGAATCCTCTCTCTGTTTCTTCCACTACAGAATAAGGCCCTAAATCGGCGCCCACCCCAGGCATGCTCAGCAAAACAAAGAAAACAAGGACTTGCCTTTGTCTCCAGTTGCGCATCCTTCCAATCTCCATTGCTCTTTTCTGAAAATTTGGTTCACAGGACCTTCCTGTATGTACACCCAAGATCCTAGCAGCCTGTCCCCGCAGCCCAGAATGGCAGAACTATGCCGAAAACAGAGTTTTAAGGAGGTTTCACACTCACTTTTGCTCTGGCGGAGAATGCTGTTCTTCAGCTTCCGGGCAGTGTGAAGCTGTGTGACTGGATGCGGGAGAGGCGCAGGCGATTCCGTTTTCCATCATTTAACCTGCAGCGCCACCACGCGTTCTCACTAAGTCTTACACTTTCTGGTTTAACATTGGATACAAAATTCTCCCAATGTATGGAACAAATCGCGCAAATTGCGTTCTGTAACATTAACCACTGAGTTCTGTTTTCGCGTGGTTTTTGTCTGTTCTTACAGAACTTTTTGTGTGGTTTTGGTGTGTTCAGATAGAACTCTGTGTTGTTGCACAGGAGGAGTACAAAGGGCAAACTGTCACATGTTACTGCTTAAAGCCGTTGAGGGATAATGATTAAATAAAATAATTACATTTAAGCTGAAAATGACATAGATTTAGGAGCAAACTTTTTCCAAATAACAATGTAACAGTTTCACATGTACAGATTTTTCATGGTATATATTGTAGAATTACAAATGAGTGGATACTGCAGGATTGCAACCAGTAATGGTTCTAAGGAGAGTGTTTAACTAATACCTTATTAAAGAGTAGGTCACTTCTTCTTTCCAACATCTAAGGCTGAAAGCTATGAGGTTTTGCAATTTTCAAATTATTGGAAAAGCATTTCCCAAATAGGAAGGTCTCAAGGTTATGCCTTGGGATTTTTTTTTAATTATCATGACACAAATAATTTGTTTTATTCTTTTTAAAAACTGCTTTAATGAGATATCATTTGCATACCATGCAATTCACCCATTTACAGTGTATAATTCAGTGGTTTTTAGTATATTCACAGAGTAATGAATCCATCACCACAGTCAATTTTAGAACATTTTCATTATCTCAAAACCCCATACTCTTCAGCTATCACCCCCCTTCCCCCCATCCCTCCTGCCTCAAGCCCTAATCAACCATTAATGTACTTTCTGACTTCTTTGTTCTGGACTTTCATATAAATGGAATAAAACAATATGTGGACTTTTGTGACTGGCTGCTTTCACTCAGCATGTTTTATTAAAATGTGTTTTTATTGATTTTTTAAAGAGAGAGGAAGTCAGAGGGGGAGAGAGAAACATCAATGTGAGAGCCTGAAACCTTTTGGCACAGGGTGACGCTCAACAAACTGAGCCACATGGGCCAGGGCTCACTTAGCATGTTTTCAAGGTTCACCCAAGTTGTGGCATGTGTCAATACTTCATTCTCATGACAGGATAATATTCCACTGTATAGATACATCACATTTGGTTATCCATGCCTCTGTTGATGGACATTTGAGTTGTTTCCACTTTTTAAATATAGAATGCAATTTATTACTTCTTGTGGTTTGTATCACAATGAATAATGCTGCTATAAACTTTCATATGCAAGTGTTTGTGTGGACATATAGTTTCATTTCTCTAGGGGTAAAATTGCTAGGTCATATAACATATCTATGTTTAATTGACGAACTGCCAGATTGTTTTCCAAAGCAGCTGCACCATTTTACATTCCCACCAGCAGTGCATCAGCATTCCAGTTTTCCCACATCCTCCCAACTCTTGCTGTTATCTGACATTTTGATTCCGCTATCTTAGTGGGTGTGAAGTTGTATCTCATTATGATTTTTATTTGCATTTCTTTGATGAGTAATGATGCTAAACATATTTCCATGTGCTCATTGGCCATTGCATATCTTCCTTGGAGGAATGTCTATTCAGATCTTTACCCATTTTTAAACTGGGCCATCTGTCTCTTTATAACACAGAAGTCTCTTATCAGATTTGTATTCTTTTGCTCCATTTTTCCATTTATAATATTTGAATTGAATTTCAGTGAAGATTTATGATATCTTTATTCATTTGGTGTTTTTGTTAGTGATTTTTAGAAGTTTATTAATTACCTTGCCTGGGGTTAAAGCACCTAATCAATAAGGCCTAAACTGGTATAAAAACCTTTGTGTCTTCCTTTGGCCACAAGTGGTACTACTAGACTGGTAATTTTCCTCCAAGCAGCCAATCTGTGGTAGGCAGAATAATGGTCACTCACCCAAAGATGTCCACACCCTAATTCCCCAAATCTGTAAATATGTTATATTACATAGCAAAAGAGACTTTGCAGATATAAATACGTAGAGGACCTTATAAACGGAAGATTACCCTGGATTATGTGGGTGGAACAGAACCTTTCCTGGTTACGGTCAAAGGGAGATGTGACTACAAAAGAATAGTCAAAGATATAATGCTGCTGGCTTTGAAGGTGGAATGATGGCGTCATGAGTCAAGTAATGTAGGCAGCATCAAGAAGCTAGGAAAGACAAAGAAATAGATCCTCCTCTAGAGCCACCAAAAAGGGATGCATTTCTGCTGACACCTTGATTTTTTTAGCCCAGTAAAACACATATTTGAGGTCTGACCTATAGAACTATAAGGTAATGCATTTCTGTTGGTTTTTGTTTGTTTGTTTTGGCTAATCCTCACCCAAGGATAAATTATTTCCACTGATTTTCAGAGAGATTAGAAGGGAGGGAGGGAGGGGAGAGAGAGAGAGCATACATAC